TTATTGCATTTAAGTGACTTCTGCATGGTGATCGGAGCTATAGTCTTACGAAGACCTAGGATTAAGTGAGATAATGTACGCAAGGATGCAGTGTAAAGTGTGAAGCGTATTTAAACGCAAGGTGTCATTACAGCCTTGCCAGCCAGGCGCCCTTAACCTCGCTCTGGAGTCACTGGTAGAAAGTCGGGGTCGCAGCATCTCACAGCGCACTCAGAAAATGGGGCCAACCCAACATGCCCACAGCACCTCCTGGTGGTGCGTCCCCGGAGCAGCAACTGCTTAAAGCCCACACCCGACCCCGGCTGTAGAAAAGTACCCAAGCGTACTTACTCCCTTCGCTCTGGCTGTCTTTGTTCGAGTTGTAGACCTGGAAAATAGAAACAAAAATTTATCTGTGTGCACTTTATACCATGCTGCACGTTCACTGTAGAAAACCAGTACCTTGCCCCCTTTCCCTAGTTTGTGCTGTAAGAGGGAAGGCAATTTCTGGCCCCCAAATATGTACCCCTCCAATAATTATCTACTTCTCAGTATTGACTTTATCTGTTCTTAAGTATGCGTACACCAAAATCCTCTGTGAAACTTTACTGGGTAAAAATCATATTTCATCTTTTTAAAAAAAGCAAATAAACTTGTATGTGTACATGAACAAAATGGAGAAAATTTTAAAAATTAGTTACAAATCATTAAGCATTAACTGTGTACCAGGAAATGTACTAAGCAATTTACATGAATTATCTCAAATAATTTACACGATTCTATAGGGCAGGAGTTGTCATCATCTTTTTTTTTTTTTTTTGAGACAGTCTTGCTTTATCATCTCGGCTAGAGTGCAGTGGCATCATCATAGCTCACTGCAACCTCAAACTCTTGGACTCAAGCGATCCTCTTGCCTCAGCCTTCTGAGAAGCTGGGATTACAGGCATGTGCCACCATACCCAGCTAGTTTTTCTGTTGGTTTTGTAGAGAGATTAGGTCTTGCTCTTGCTCAGGCTGGTCTCGAACTGCTGACCTAAAGCCATCCTCCTGCCTGGGCCTCCCAGTATATCATTGTTTTACAGAAGGAGAATCTGAGGCTTAAAGAGGTTAATTAATATCTCACAGCTAGTTAGTGGCAAAGTCAGAACAAATGGTTAACTGCTAACACTGAGGAATGGGAGTACGTACTCTTTACTTTTTTAATGTTATAGGGAGATATGTTACATTTACAATAAAATCTCATTACATGATTTATATAAATCATAAAAACATAAAGTACCCCACACAGAAAAGGAAAATGCCCCAGTATAAAATAGACAATGGCATACTGCAAGAGTCAACAAGCTTTTTCCATAAAGGGCCAGATAGCAAAGGGTTTAGGCTTTGTGGGCCAAGAAACAAAAATCAATGACATCATATAAGTACTTATATAATAAGTGAGAAAACGAATTTCCACAAAATTTTTGACAAAAATTCAAAATATAATAATTGTGTATAACTTTTTTAAAATACAAGTCTACCAATCAGAAGAATGAATTTTTTTAGAAGGAGGATGACATTTAGTTTAAATGGGGTTCAAAGTTAGTATTCCCTGTCATCAAATCAATTGCAAATGTTCATCTGTAAATGCTATGCTTGACTCGCGGGCTGTGCAGCAGCAGATGGTGGGCTGGATTTGGTCTGCGAGCCATGGTTTGCCCATCCCTGATATGCTGTCACTATTACATAAGATGAAACCTCTGCCTTAGAAAAGAAAAAAAAAAAAATCATCCTGCCCGAACCGTTCTTTGGTGTTTAAGGTTCTGTAGGTATAGGAAGGCATGAAGCTGATCATCATCACTTAAAATACATATGTACCTCCCAGGTGATTCTAATGGCTACTCTCAATTGAGAGCCACTTACTTAACCCCTAAAGGAACTAAGTCAAGCATCTCTGAAAAGAGAGCCATGAAACCCAAAAACAGGTTTTTACCTGTGAAGAAACATGACTGAGAACAGCTGGTCAAGAGCTGGGCAGTGGGTCCCACTTGGCCCTTTGTGTCCCTGGGTAGGTCTCTTACCCTCTCTGGGCCTCTACTGCCTCATCTGTAAACTGAAGGAATCACCCAAGAAGGTCTTTGAATCATCAAACTCTAACAAATCACCCCATCTTATTATTAATTTTCTAAAGAAGACTAAAGCTGCACAGCCACTTATTAAAGGTCAGAAAGATGAGGACAAAGGGAACAGGTTTCTGCACTTAACGAGGATTGTCCGATGAATGAAGAGACATCAGTGCGTACACTTAAAAGTTCTAGTGATTAGGAGTCAAGTGATTTTGATCTGGCCTGGCTGTCACCATTGGTAACTTCATCTTGCTGAACTTTAACTTCTTCATCTACAAAATGAGGGTGGTGATAGCTATTCTGCCTACCTCTTCCAGGGCTGCTGTGAGCATCAAATAAGATTATGAAAAAGAAATATACCGAAAAAGCACAACACAAAAGCAAGTACATTGGGTTATACTACCAGGAA